AAATTAATTCGAGCCCACTGAATTCACAGTGTTTCCTTAAGGAATTTAATCCCCTCATAGTACCCAAGGTTATAGATTATTTCCTCCCAAGATAGAACGAATTACACACTGGTGTAGCGGTACTTCAAACCCCAGCGTTTCAGCGAACACAAAATTCGACAGCAAATCACACTTATGGATGCTTTGTTTGTAGTTAAAAACAATGCAGAATAAGGAAGACAACTCAGAAGTCGAATGGAAATTCTGAGAGGAAGGAATGCAAAGTATATCCAATGTTGAATTCTTACTGAAGAGAATATCAGATTGCAATTCGTTTTTCCAGTGTATACGCAGTGGTGTATATCCAGTGTATACAGAGTGTATATTAAGTGTATACAGAGTGTTTCGAGTGTTTTTTTTCCGATGTGTTCTTCTTTCTCTCCAACTTATGCTCTATTTATAGCAGTTATTTGAGAGAAATCCGCCCCCTCCATGGTACAACAAGCACTAGGCTATCATGGAGGAAGCACTTACATGGTGGAATGTACACTTGCTTGGTGGGAGGAGCACTTGCACCATTGTGGGAGGTGCACTAGGCTGCTTATTGCTTAATATTGCAACGCAGTACACGGATTGGAAAACATCCGTTACAAACACGGATTATATCACGTTAATATTCACTATTAACAAATAAATTTGGTCCAAAAAATTAATCAATCGATCGATCATTTGACCAAATCCGAATCCAAATCCAAATCCAAATCCCATTTCCCATTCATTCTAATTTTAAGACTATTTCATCTTAAACAAAAACTCAACAGTTACTTCTTTTAGCTGTGTAATCGCGGCTGATTTTTTGTAGGTTTTCTCAGGCATAAATGGACCAGTAGAAGTCTCGCAAGATGCAAATGAAAGAGGAGAAATGGAGAGTATTTCTAAGGCTACTTTTGTGGTGAGACAAAATCATTATAATTCATGTCTAAGTGGATCAAAATACAAGCAACACCAACAGTTAAATTACAATACTTGTATGTTAAATTAACCCCTTTTGTGAGGCAATGATTTAGTCACCTCTTTCAAGTATGCCGTTACAAACTAATGCAAAAGAAAGGTGGAAATATTTGCAGCACATTTTGAAAACCATTGTACATATCAATACTCTTCTACCTATTGAAAACATAAATTTGGTTAAGCAAGCAAGCCATCCTCTACTTGCAAATTGCATCAGAAGAGAACATATAAAAAGAAGAAAAGTAAAACGAGTTTTTGGTTTCCCACCCGGTGTCCGGTACCCGCGTGCCAGATAGGGCCCTATTCGGGGGTGGGGGGTGGGGGGAGGGAGGATTGAATAACATGGTGCATGCGGAACCTAACAATCGAAAGTTTGGTGGACGATAAATCAGACGACAAAAGAAAAATATACTAAAGTAAGCATAATAGTTTATAATTGTTTGGTCAATTGATTTACATATGATAAAACTAATATAAAAGAAGAAAAACTATCGAGAGAAAAATCTCTCTCTAAACAAAACTCTTTAATGAGTATATTGTGGATATTTTTTTGTGCTCTTGTGAGAAGAAGAGATCCTTAATTTATAAATGTGCAAAACTTGTCTTCCAAGAAAAGGATAAGACATATTAAGGAGATTTAATCCTTTTAGGAATCTTTTTCCATTCCTTCAAGAACGAGGGTCATAATAGATTAGAAATTTAGGGCAAAATCCTAACAATTTCCCCTTGGCCTGAATTTTCTTGACAAAGTTGATTCACCTTCTTCACATAATCTTCATCACTGCTGTTTGTCATGATTAAAAATCGGTATAGGTTGAAAATCTTGGTATTGGTTAAAAGAAGCCCAAGTATGGGTTAAAAAGAGCCCACGTGTTAAGAATAAACATGGGGTAAAAGAAACTCATGCATTAAAAAGAAGCGTGAGTTAAAACTGGCATTGGAACTCATGCGTTGCAAGTAGGCATGACTTAAAACTATCGTTAGTTAAAAGAAATATGGGTTAGAAAGATTTTTTATTCCAATAAAGTTGCAGCAACAGACGTTTTGAATACAATTGTGATTGTAAATTTATCTCCACATGTAGCATCATATTTGGTGGATTCATAATGCCTTAACTTTATGTTTTGATGATCTAACAAACTTACTGTCAAAGATTCAAATAAGAAACCTGACACACTTGGTACACATCACAAATCAACAGATTCCAGCTAACATAAACTGCTACAACTTCAGAAGATAGAGAACCAACACAGGGACCTGATACCCCTGTGTTTCCCTGACAACAGTACGAGGTCAACTCTTTACAGCTGGAAAGTGACTGCCTGCACTGTATACAGAAACAATGCAGCACAGTTTTGAAGTCACTGCTCATTTGTCCTACTAAGTGATTACATCATTCAAGTGATGTCATCAATGTTGTATTAACATCAACATTACAACAAAACATCATTTGAACTCTTGAGAATTCAATTCAAGCATTCAAGCACTCAACCGGATCTCCATCTAGCATTCAAATTCTCAAGTGCATCAAGAACAAAGTTTAACACTACTACAGAACAGTTCCTAGAGGTAGTATTTTGTATGTTCTTAGTTGAGTTATAACTTTGTTATTGTTCTTCATTGTAACTCTTACTTTGCTTATCTAGAAGCGTTACTTAGGAACCCTTTGTAAAACCATAAACCCTTAGTGTTTGTAGTTAGTTATGAGTTGAAGTCTTTATAATATGTGTATTGCAAAGTGGCTTGTAATAGGTGTATTACAAGTTAGCTACGAATTAAGAGTTTAATTCCTTGATTGCATAGGTTGTAATCTAAAAGTTGCTCTTAGTGAAGTTGAAAGCCTACCAGTGTAGGTCGTAGTTTTTTATCCCCTTGAGCAGGGATTTTTCCACGTAAAAACTCCCTGTCTTCTTTATTTACTGTTTCATTAGCATTCTTAGTAGAAACTCATAGAGGACCTAGTCACTCTATAGTTTGGTGGACTCATATATTTTATCAATTAGTATCAGAGCGGGTTCTTTCTATAAGGCTAACACCTAGAAAGGATTCATAGTTTCTCCACCAAATTTTGAAGAAGGCCAGTCGATAACCATGCCACCCAGGTTCAATGGACAATATTATGGGTGGTGGAAAACAAGAATGCACGATTTTATTATGATAGAGGATTCTGAATTATGGGATGTCATATGTGATGATCCTTTTGTCCCAACAAAGAAGGTAGGAGACCCTCCCGAGTCGAGACCAAAAACCAGGAAAGAATACAACAATGCAGATACGAAGGCTGTGAAGAAAAACTTTCGTGCCAAGAAGATCTTGGTGTGTGGGATAGGACCTCATGAATACAACATGATTTCAGCCTGTCAATCCGCAAAGGAGATTTGGGAAGCTTTACAAATAACACACGAGGGAATTGTGGCATTGGTTAAAGTGGCCAAAATATGGGTTAGAAAGAATTTTTATTCCAATAAAGATGCAGCAGCAGGCGTTTTGAATACAATTGTGATTGTAAATTTATCTCCACATGTAGCATCATATTCAAACTTTTTTTTGGTTGAATAAATCTTCATTATCGTCTTGATCTAAACACGCATTGAATCTGTCTTCAACCTCGTTCAACCGTTAACTATGAACCATTGGCTCTGATACCACTTGTTGGGATCGAAATAACATGGTGCATGCAAAAACTAACAATACAAAGCTTGATGGACGATAAATCAAACGACAAAAGAAAAATATACTAAACTAAGCATAATAGTTTATAATTGTTTGGTCAATTGATCTACATATGATTAAACTAATATAAAAGAAGAAAAACTATCGAGAGAAAAATCTCCCCCTAAATAAAACTCTTTAATGACTACATTGTGGATATTTTTTTGTGCTCTTGTGAGAGGCAGAGATCTTTAATTTATAGATGTGCAAAACTTGTTTTTCAAGAAAAGGATAAGATATATTAAGGAGATTTAATCCTTTTAGGAGTCTTTTTCCATTCCTTCAAGAAAGAAAGTCCTAATAGATTAGAAATTTAGGGCAAAATCCTAACAAGGGGAGGGGAATAGAGCTCCCTACTAAAATATTTTCCATACACAGGGCTCAAATTCAAAATCTCTGGTAAAGGAAGGGAGCAACCCATTCACTGCACCACATTCTTTGATGGTTAAAGTAAAACGAGTTACTTTTTGAGTACTTACTATAGCTCTCCATGTCAAAACTAATAAAGCAGGTCGATATAAAACCCTATTGAGAGCACACTAGTTAATTTTTTCACTAACGTTTGATAAATTGCTTTTACATTACACAAGGAAAAACAATAAAACTTTCACTAGTATTATTAATAAACTTGAAGGTACCAAGAACAACTCACATACACGATTTACATAATGAAATACTACGTAATTAAAGTGACCTTAATATGCAAGGTCATGTACATTTGGAAGCAAAAAGATCGTAACATGAATACATAAACGACTCAACATAATAAAACCAAACATATCTCCAATAGGGGTTTATCCAGAGGACTACAACCATTACAAGAACCAAATTTGCATATGCCACTAAGAAAAGAAACATAGAACGACTCCATATCTAGAAAACCAGTATCATCTTCACAACAATCTGGCACACGAGATGATATCGGTATCTCTTTGGTCTCCATGCAATTGATATGCAATGGAGGATCGCAAAGAAAAGGATTTCCCTCATAACTGCTTTCAGTAAAAGTTGCAAATTGAGATGTACGTTGTGAAGTCCTACCTGTTAAATTATTGTGTGCCACGCTAAAAATTGCTAGAGTCGTCAACTCTACAAGTTGAGAGGGAATCCTCCCAGTCAAGTTGTTGTATGATAGATCCAAACTCTCAATATTCTGGAGATTTGAGAATTCTGATGGTATTACTCCAGTTATGTGGTTATGTGAAAAGTTTAGTGCCCGAATTTCAGTAAGATTACAGAGTTCCTTAGGTATTTCACCACTTAACTGGTTGTAAGAAAGATCAATCCCAAACATATAATCAACAATGCTACCTTCATAGGAATATGTATTATATTTGGTTGTAAACTCTGCCCCAACCCATGCATAGTTATCTTGATAGGAAACTGTCGATCACTCCATTGAATCTTCTACATATATCATGGTATCTCTACCCCACGTCTGGAGTCTTGGATAACTAAATATTGGACCGTATGGGTATGCTTCACTGATCCCTTCTATTTGCATTATGTTCCCAAAGCAATGTGGAATAGGTCCCAAGAGATTATTATGAGAAAGATCCATAATTCTCAATTCACTCGCATAGCACAACTCTGTGGGAATGGTGCCTTGAAAATGGTTTCCTTTCAAGAGTAAGGTGGTTATTTCAATACTGCCTAACCATTTTGGAATTGAACCGGTGAAGTTGTTATCTTTAAGATCCAATACCTTTAAATTTGAGCTATTTGAGAACACATCGAATTGCCCTCGTAAATTGTTTTTGCTCAAATAGACACGTTTAAGGTTTTGGGAAGCACTGAAACATGATGGAATCACACCAACAAGGTTGTTTCTTGAGAGATCTAAAACCTCAAGCTTTTCAAGTCTACAATAATCTGCTGGAATAGGACCCTTTAGATGGTTTCTAGATAACGCGAGGGAGGTTAATGAGGGGATGTAACCAATCCAAGAAGGTAGATTTCCAGACAAACTGTTGTTACTTAAATCCAGTGAACTCAAGGGAGCAGAGGACAACTTTTGTGGAATTGAGCCTGAGAAGTTGTTTCCGTCCAAGTACAAGTACTGAAGATTATTGATGTTGGTTGACCCTTGGAATATTTCGCCTTCCAACATGTTATTCGACAGTCTCAGAAAGAATAATCCATTACGAGCCAATTCAATTGGTAATTCTCCTGATAACTTATTGTCTGACAAATCCAAGAAAAGTAGGTTCTTCATGTCGCTAAAATTTGAAGGCAACATGCATTCAAGCATATTGTTGGACATTTTTAACCTTAAGATATTCGGGAAAATGGAACCAATGTTGGGAGGAAGTTGTCCCTGAATCTTGTTCCTTGAGATATCAAAAAATTTCATTTTAGGAAGGACAACTCATGAAAAGATCCAGTAAATGCATTTCCATCCAAATAAACTTCTTCAAGTCTAGGATTATTCTTCAACAACCAATTTGGAAAGTTTCCACCAATGTTGCAATCAGATAGACTAAGTTGACGCAACTGATGTTGATAATGAAGGAAATTTGGTATTACAGAGCAGTTGTTAGTCAAAGACAAGGCTTCCAGTTGAAACTTTGGGATCCAATTTCTAGTAGAAGTTTGTACAACTAATGAATTGCCGTCAGGAATGACATACTTGAGCTTTGAATGGTTAGCAAATGACTCGAATGAAATTGGGATTTCAAAGTTGTTGTTTCTTAGCAAAAGATATTCAAGGGACAAGAGATTTGAAAGTGGAGATGAGGCAATATTTCCAGTAAACTGATTTTGAGTGAGATCAATTACCCGGAGAAATGTTAAGTTTCCAAGACATGGAGGAAGATTTCCATGGAAGTTGTTGAAGCTGAGACTTAGTTCTTCAAGATATTTTAGATTGCAAAAACCTTTAAGAAAAACAAATAGCTAACTGTTACTACATGTCTATATTGCAGCCTTTGCAGCAAATATAGGAAACGTGCAAACCAAACTGCTAGGTAACTTCAAACAAAAAGGGTAATTGAGAAAAACTAAAATGAAGTAAACTATGTTATGTTGACTCAGACAAACGTATGCTCTTAATTGAGAATAATCCTTGCCAGGCTAGCACTTCAATTGAAAATATATTACTCATTCTAACTTTCAACCACTAAAACTCTTTTTTCTAAAACATTTAACAAAGTTTCAAACCGTGGAATTAGCCACTAATGCTTGCATCAGGGTAAACTACCTACATCATACTCTCTTGGTGCGGCGTTAATGCGAGATGCTTTGTGCACCGGGCTACCCTTTATTTAACAAAGTTCCAAATCTCCCTCAAAACTCTAGAACGAACTGATCACGAAATTTCAAATATCTTTTGGAAACCCTAATGAGGAGACTCTCAATTATGTTTTTGCTCAAAGTGAGACTGCAAGCAGAGTATGGGAACTAGAAGTGTTGGCTCATTGATTTGCATACAAGTGATAAAATGTGAAAGATTCTTATAATCATATAAAGAAATAATTGCAGTTGGTTGTTTAAGATTACCTTGAATAGGCAGGGTTCCAGTCAGGCCGCAGTTAGCTACTGATAATACTTTAAGGGACGGCATTACACCACTGCTCTGTAGAAAGTTTTTGTCCAACGTATTCCCATCCAAAAGTAAATACTTTATATTTCTCAGAATTCCCAACTCTTGCATGTAAAAGAAACACAAAAGAATCATCAACACATAGTTCATTATAGGTTTGCAAAGTTATGCTTGTAATTAGTGTTACTGATGACAATAAATATGTCAAAATCACAGCATGCATATTTTAAATGTTGTCTAAAAAATGGGACGACTAAATGCTTTGCAAAACTTTGGTATTTGTAAGTATTTCTAGCAAACTTTACTTTTAGCTACTATAAGACTATAATTTTCTAAGTTGTCGGACTCTCAAGAAATGTCACCAGGTGCATATCGGATCCTCCAAAAGTACACTATTTTTGGAGGATCTAATAAGGGTGTGGCCGCATTTTGGAGACTCCGCGCAACATAGATAAAATTTTAGGATTTGAAATCTGAAAATGGTATTAAAATACTATGGATTTCAAACATTTTTAATTCAAATGGAGCCCTTGTAAGTGGGTTTTTTTGCGGTTTTCAATTCTTTTGATTTTTGAGCTTGATATTTTGATTGAGTACATAATAAGCTATATCTACATCGCATACACATAATTACAACACGATCATCTGAAAATAACAAACTCAAGGAACAAAATGTACCTTCATTTGGCATAAAGCTCTGAAAACTGTTGTACCTTATATCGAGCTTCTTCAAAGTTGTACTAAATGTATTTAGCTGTGGCCAAGTATTTATAAACTGTTATCAGGAAACTTTCGCAAAAATAGCAACGGTAAAATGGAAAAGGATCAAATTTACCCATTTACTGTACGAAGTATCTTAATTTAACAATCCTTTATGTTTGAAGTCATTCATACCTTTGACATTAGCAAATTGTATTATTTTGCCTTGACTTCAACAGAGATCTAGCATGGACTGAGTGAATTTTTTCACGTATCAAAATACTTCAAGAAAAATGTTCATATTTACCCAAAGTAGAATGGTAAGGGCAATTCACCAAATCCACATTGGATCTCCGTTAAAGTGAAGGACAAATATGAGACAATTTGCTAAGGGCAAGAGTTGAATAGCCCCAAAGTATAACGAAGAGTTAAATTTAAGATATTTCATAGCGTACAAAAAGTGATTTTGACCGTTTTCCCAAAGTAAAAGGGTAAATAAAGGTCTATGAAGAGAGAAATTGTTGCGGAAGCCAAATGTATATAGTGTGAATAAGTCACAACTACTATACCAAAAATTATGACAGCCACCAAATAATAAATAAGACAATAAAGCAACAATAAAGGGAACACCAGAATTTACGAGGTTCGGCTAATTTTGCCTACTCCTCGGACACAACCAATATTTTATTCCACTCCAAAAATACAAGTGAAATAATACTAAAAAAAAAAAGATACAAATGCCTTAAACAGATGAGAAGACAAATGAGAAGTGTGTTTAAATCCTAAACATTAGGCCTTCTTTTATAGGGGGAAAATCCCCCCAAAACTTAAG